GTTGTAGACAATTAAAAACTTTTTTTAAAATGTGGAATGTTAACTATAAATTTTATGTATATCAATCTTTTTATTTCTTCACATTTCATTTCAAGTTAATTTTTGCATCCTGTTATCCTATTAGTGGCAAATTTCCCCCTTAAGAGATATTGGTCAGTTTCTTTTCTTTTCTTTGATATTATGTCAAACATGAAAACACTAGTTTTTTTTGTTTCCTTATTAATTAGCTTTATACTTACCGTTCCTGAATTTAAGGAGGGATTCTTGTCTGGTTTCTGACTAGATGAAATATTCAAAGTATATTTGCTTATATGTTTTATATATTTAGATGTAAGAGATTTAAAAGGTCATATTTTTCCTTCCTCATCACAATTGTACAACTTTAAATAGAAATGGTAAACTGAGTTTGAAATCTAGCAGGGACTATATTTTTGGCGGAATGGCAGCGTATGAAAATATCTTCTTTTCTGCCTCTCAAAATAATTATAGAACAATGAATTTAGTTATAATTTTTACACAATCAAACACTTAAAGAAAATTTTTAAATGTAAGTTAAATTAATAATAAGGGACTAAAGTTTTAAAATATATCAAATAAATATGATTTTCCAAACAAACTACAATTATGTTAGCTTTTAAAAGCTTCCAATCTAAGTTCAGATATGAGCCAAAAATCCTTAAAAAGTGTTTTTTTTCTCTCTTAGTAAACGGTCAAAACTTTTTGTTTTTATATCATTTTGTATCTTTATGTGACAACTTTACCATATGTGAAAATAAGAAAAATTTAAATATAGGAAGCATATAAAAATAACTAAAATATCTTGAAATTTTAAGAAAAATAGAGAAAATTCGGATTAACCAATATCCATTTTAGTTAAATTATTTATGTCAATTTGATAATATCATCTTATAGACCCTATATGGTAATATCTCTTTATGCAAAAAGAAAAACATTTAATTTATTGAATTAGAAGTAGGCATCGCATGCTTGGCAACGTTAACAGTAATTTTTTTATTCTTAATGTCCAGGGAAAAGGTACTGACCTTGACCTGACCTTGCCTCTAATATAAAACAGTCAAATTTAATCTAACTGATACCATCACTTAGTGATATTGTCTTCTTGATTCTGTGAAAATTTCATTGATTTTTAAATATAAGAAAGAAGTGTTCTTATGAGAAGAATCCCTCCTTAATAAACGGTGTAACCTATGTACAGAAACACACTATTAATAATTTAATATCATATAATATTAGGAAAAATCTGGTACAAGTGCACATTAAGACTCTCATGAATCTAATTTTAATGCAGTGGGAAATTCAAGAATATAAGTAAATATCTTTTTCTTCGACAAAATGCTTCATTGGCACAAAATATATCACGCAGCTTTGGTATGCTGTCTCGATAAAGTGAGCTGTATTAATCAACATTTTATGACTACAAAATTTCTCTAATATTTATTTATTTATAAATCTATATAAATTTCTTGTTTCCCAAATATTGTCTTTCAAAGGATTATGTATAATTATGTGTATTTGTTTTATGTATGATGACATGATACAAAAAAAGAAAAAAAAAATGGCAAAGATGATTCGCTCTTGTAGATGTTTTCTTAAACGTATAACATTTATATATCCATCTATAGATATATAACTGGTCGATCAAATCATTAGTCAGAATATAAGCCTTTTTTTTAAAAAAAGATGCATGATTCATAGTTGTGATATAATTAATCATCCAATGTTTCTTGAAATTTTGTAAAACCTTGAAATATTTAGTCTGAAGTTATACAAAAAAGTTGTTGCTTAACGAACAGAGATGTTACAAAGTCGTACAGATGTTTCTCTTCAGTTCTAATTTTTTTAAAGCACTTTCTAGCGTTGAGCATTGGTTACTCACACAGCGAGGCTTCTCTAGAGATGAAGGGAATTAACCGTATGGCCCAATAAACTCCTCTTCTGAGAATTATATAGGAAAAAATCACATGCATATACCTTGCTTCTTTACAGAGTTTCACCTAGAGAAATAGTAAGAATGGTTTGTAAGGTCGGAGTGATTGAGTGTTTTAAATCGCACTCAAATAGAAAGCTCTCACCGTTATACATGTATATATACAGCCTAATGTCATTTGTTCTGTTGGTCAAGGCAGCGAGTAGATATCTTGGGTCCGGGACATAACAAAGTATATTAATTAAAAGTGTTAAATTCTTTTACATTTTTTCTTAGTTGTCTACATCTTCTGCTATTTGGCCATTTGGATTTTGTAAAGAACTGAGGTCGTAAGATGACAGTCATCTTCCCGCTCTTCATTTTTCTCTCATCGACGGTCGTCTCAGTGGATGAAGGAGCGTATCTGAATGTAGATTGTTAAATTGTTGTATCATGCATGGTAATAAGCATATACTCATTACAATTTAAAGAAAGGAATCGACCAAGGTTGTCTGGAATCTGGTTAAATTGTATACTATTTTATTTTCGGTTATGAATTACTTTGGGATATTACTATTCTTTATCTAGGCATTGTCATTGATCATCTAGGGCGATGTTCTCGAGAAAACTGGATATACGATTCTGAATTAAAAAAATATATAAGTAGCGATGTCCCCCTGCAACAATATTTATCTTACAAGTATGAAAATTATATAAGATAAGTATCAAATGCTATTTATAAGGATTCAAAACGTCGACCTTTTCCAGGCGTAATCTTGCCAAGTCAACGTGATAGACCGAGATATTCCAGAATGAAGCTATATAATTACTTTCAAAATGAAATTCCTAAAAGATTACTAAAAAAAAACTGACCTGAAAAACTAAAATTGAAAATAAGCTACATTTAAAATACGAATTTTATATCCCATACAAATAAAAAGTTAATTTGGATTAAAAGCCGTGCTGTACAGGGACATATGCATCCTATGGAAGTAACTCCGAGGATAGCATTATACCCGAGAACATTTTACAGCTCTCAAGAAATTGGTCGATTTTAATGCTGACAGACACCTCATGGTGAAAAAAACAGAGGCCCATGGGCCACAACGCTCACCTGATTATCTTTGGCCTTGCTGTTTTTCACCAGATTTCCCCCCTAAATTGTCAAAATCATGACCCCCGGGGGTAGGGCGGGGCCACAATAGGGAATCGAAGTTTTACATTGATATATATAGGAAAAATCTTTAAAAATCTTCTTCTCAAGAACCACTGGGCCAGAAATGCTGAAACTTATATGGAAGCATCCTGGGATAGCGTAGATTCTAAATTGTTAAAATCATGACCCCCGGGGGTAGGGCGAGGCCACAATAGGGAATTAAAGTCTTACATTGAAATATATAGGAAAAATCTTTAAAAATCTTCTTCTCAAGAACCACTAGGCCAGAAAAGCTGAAACTTATGCGGAAGCATCCTCGGGTAGTGTAGATTTTAAATTGTTAAAATCATGACCCCCGGGGGTAAGGCGGGGCCACAATAGTGAATCCAAGTTTTACATTGAAATATATAGGGAAGACCTTTAAAAATCTTCTTCTCAAGAACCACTGGGCCAGAAAAACTGAAACTTATGTGGAAGCATCCTCGGGTAGTGTTGATTCTAAATTGTTCAAACCATGACCCCCCGGGGTAAGGCGGGGCCACAATAGGTATTACAAGGGGGGAAATCTGGTAAAGATCAGCATGGCCAAAGTTACTCAGGTGAGCGATGTGGCCCATGGGCCTCTTGTTTGGTATTGCATAAAACTTCATAAAGCTAATTAATTTATTTTTGCTGTGGAAGAGGATGTGTGAGTACTTGGAAAGAACTGACTTTTATTTGTAGAGTGCATTTCCCTCACCTACTTCTTTTAAGAGCACATTAAATAGTACAGGGTCTGCTGGAGAATTAAAATAAATTAAACTTTGTTCCACTGCAAACCGATTTATGATTCACTGGTAAGCTGAGCAATACAGTGTAATATTAAAGACATATATCATGTCCATGATAATATATATATATATATATATATATATATATATATATATATATATATATATATATATATATATATATATATATATATATACTGCATATAGTTTTTAGCTCACCTGAGCTGAAAGCTCAAGTGATCTTTTCTGATCACCTGTTGTCCGTCGTCAGTCCGTCCGTCTGTAAACTTTTCACATTTTGAACTTCTTCCCAAGAACATCTGGGCCAATTTTAACCAAACTTTGTACAAAGTTTCCTTTGGTAAAGGGGGGTTACATTATGAAAATGAAGGGCCAACCCCCTTCCAAGGGGAGATAATCAAGAAAAGACAAAAATAGGGTGGGGTCATTAGAAAATCTTCTTCTCGAGAACCACTGAGCCAGAAAAAGCTGAAACTTACGTGGAAGCGTCCTGGGGTAGTGTAGATTCTAAATTGTTCAAATCATGGCCCCCGGGGGTAGGGCGGGGCCACAATAGGGAATCCAAGTTTTACATTGAAATATGTAGATAAAATCTTTAAATATCTTCTTCTCAACAACCACGGGACCAGAAAAGCTGAAACTTATGTGGAAGCATTCTGAAATCGTGTAGATTCTAAATTGTTCAAATCATGATTCCCGGGGGTAGGGCAGGGCCACAATAGGGAATCCAAGTTTTACATTGTAATATGTAGAAAATCTTTCAAAAATCTTCTTCTCAAGAATCACTGGGCCAGAAAAGCTGAAACTTGAGTGGAAGCATCCTGGGTAGTGTAGATTCTAAATTGTTCAAATCATGATCCCGGGGGTAGGGCGGGGCCACAATAGGGAATTCCTAATCTGGCATAGCTAGACTCTCTCTACGTGTATTGAAAAATGATTGAAGTCACATCGGTAACTATTGTCTCTCAGTCAAGAGGGTCGTGCTAGGTCTGTTTTGGCTCCGCCCACAAGGACATGGATTGGCCGGTATCAAAAGCAGATCTGCTTTTAGGATGACAAAAGTATAAATTCAAGTTTTAGGGACTAATAATGAACTTATATTTTACACAGTGAAAAATCAGCAGAGTTATGATGAAACATTTTATTTTGATTTTCATACATAACAGTTACAAATATACTAGTATACAAAGTATAAAAATTACAATAATATAAAGGAATTGACAAAGGCACATTAAATACAACAATTAATTAAAAAGTATATACTATAGTAACAACCTCGGCTAAATAACTACAAGACACTGATGACATGGCTACAAGCAGAGTCTCGTTCACTGCCCTATGATTACAATAATCTTTTAGTTTCCAAATGCCTCGTTGACCATATCCTGTTTGCTCGCGTCGTCATCTGCGATGAATTGGGCCCAGGCGTCCACTATGTGCTGTACATTTGGTTGACCCTTGGTGGCCTTGAACAGCTGGTAAGCTTTGCCCACTTGTGCCGAATCCTCTTGACCAAAAACTTTAAATCCAAAGGCGAACTCCTGTTCCTCGATAGGTCGCTCCTTGTTTTCAGCAACGAATGAAGCGATATCGTCAAAACATCTCACCATTTCTTGATAGAATGCCGCCTTGTCTTTTTGATACGATTCTCCTAAGGTGGCCTGGAATTCTTCGAGAGTCAAAGTTACACCTGGACCTTTGCGAAAGATGTAAGTATTCCACCATTTTGTGTTGTCAAATCCCCCATTGTCTTTCACTTTGTCGCCAAGCATTTTCTGTATTTCTTCAAACTTTTTCGCAGAAATATCCATGTCTTCCGTGGAGAGTTTATTGTCATGATTAGCATCTAGAGATTTGAACCATATCGCCCATTTTGATTTAAGGTAATCCATTTCTCCTGTAAGATATAAAACACAGATGATTATAGGACCAGGTAAGAACTATTTATATACTATCATTGCATAGGCGTCAGAAGCAAATTAAAAGTGGGGGGGGGGGTGCTAAACGAACAAAAAGGTAAGCCCCAATTTTCAATGCCTATATTATGTCTATCTTTGCAAAAAAAAAGGGGGGGGGGCTGGCTAAGCCCCACCCCCTCCGGTTCCGACGCCCATGGATTGTAAATATGGGTTATGAAACATTTAAACGTTCGGGTATTTTTTTTAATTCTGATGTATCTCTACTATCCTAAAGGATTCACCAGACGATTGGAAAGTGGAGGGGGGGAGGGGCAATTAAAAATATACATTCTGTAGATTTCAGGCTTGCCGAAAACCGTCATGAACAATATCTGAAAGACACTACATATAAAGTACATGTAATATATAAACAATAAAAGGGAGAGAAAATTGTGTTTAAATTCGTGGATTATGTGTCCAGGAAATAAGACGAATCGTAGTATTGTCCACTACCACCTCTAACACAAAATTTTGTCATATTTGTATCAAAATTGAAGATAATATAATAGTAAATGACCGAAATAAGTATACTCAGAATAAAACGGACTGTAACATAACGTCTATTCAGTATACCTAATAATTTTTTGCATACATATGTATTTTCTTTTCGTTTAAGGCAAAATTATGATGAATCTAAAAATCGTTAAAAACTCGGGTCTCATTGGCAGAAGGGGGGGGGGGGAGGGGAGTCTGGTGACCCAGACATTTCAAGAATGAAAACTACACCTATTCTAATCGGATTAATATAACTAAAGATTGGGTATAATTCAAAGCAATTAAGAATTTGACATCTTGCACGGAAAAGTGAGACTGCAAATTCATCTAGCTTGAATCTTGTTGGTCTCAGGTTGTTACCCTCTGGTTGTGAGCAACATTTTTGTTGAAAATTTGACGTTTCACAGTCCTAGCAATAAAAACAACGACCCAAAGAACAGTTAACGTTTTTTTTTTCAGTCGAGCTAGGTGAATTTAACTTTAACAAAACAATCATGTTTTTAATTTGACATTCCGCACCCTGTCGGCTAGGGTCATTAAAGACCTTTCTTTATGTACAAAGAACCTTTGTGTCTAAAGCATGTTTCTTCGTATGGCAAGAATTCTACACTCCTGAAAACTGTGACCTTGACCTTGCTCAACTGAACCGGTTTAGGGTCAGAACCTAGCCTCGCGTCATATGGAACTCCGCACCGTGACTTTGTACTTAAAGGTTAACCTCAGGTAATATATGTATGATACTGATTTAGAACATTAATTTGGTAATTATAAGTACATTAATTAATTGATACGTTATTCTCGTTCTTCTTCTACATTCTTCGCATACCAGCACGCTACCAGATGGCAAGTTAAGGTTAATCATACTGAAAAGCTAGCTTGTTTTATATACACATAATTATAACTAGGAGCCTATACAGATGTTTTCTTGTAAAATATTAAGAGATGCTGGCTCAGTTATTGGCAGAGAGCTCTTGTAAAATAATATGTAACCTATGAATGGCAGGAAAAATGCATGACCTGGCTGTTATAATGAAGTGAAAATCGTGCTATTAAAAAAATCTAGGTCGGTATGGTGTTATCTGTAAAATCTGGGGGATCAAATTCCCGTCCTCTAAAGGAATTTAATTTTTTATATAAAGTAAACAGGCTTGATTTTGTTTTGTTTTGTTGTTGTTTTTTTTTTTTTTTTGGGGGGGGGGGAGGGGTAAATAACTTCCCCCCACCTTTCGCACGCACATGCAAATAAACTTGACATGATTCCATAGCAATCACATAATCTATCTGATTGTTGATGTGCCTGATGAAGAGACTTAATGTAATTAATTCATAAAATATAATTGTCATATCATAATATTTGCAACCACGTTCTTTGACATTTAAATCAATAATTGAAAAGTCGTGCATTTATAGTGTTACGGAAAGAGGTATATATACATGTCCCTTTATTGAAATCTGTACGCCGCATACACGGCGCTACATGTACATGTGCCGTTCTTGACAAATTTTCCTTGTTAAAATATGCATTCTTAACTTCACACGCTGCCTTAAACTTATTCTCTTTAGAGATTCGCCTACATCCAGTGAATGCGCACTGTCCACTTCTCTAAAGAGAATACACTTAAATACAAAATGCCAATCTTTAATTAAAATATATATATATATATATATATATATATCAAATTACTAGCGGAATGCAGAAAATCTTTTCTCTATGCATGTTTTGACAATATACATAATAGACTTACCTCGATTGATATAGAAGCCTGATGCAGCACACAGTCGACTTGTCCACTGTAAAAATACCAATATCAGTATCCTAGGCACGGAATTGTTTTTATCTCTGATTCCAGTGGAAAATCCAGCACGCTACAAACTAATCTGTTGAGGTATCGTTTTCTCTTTGTACAAACTGCTGATCTTCGGTTCTCGTCATGTGTTTAAGTGTGAATAACGAGTGTTCTGTTCTCAGTGCAATCACAGCCTCTTGCGTACACTTGAATGCTACTTTTACATTTTAATAAATGTTTGATTGCATAATAAAACAGGATGGTTATCACATGCACTCATATTTATGTATGTGTACACGATACTATATGTAGTGGATAGTATATACCGACATCCATACCTTATATGCTTGAGTAAACATATTTGTCAGCATTAATAAACATATTTTCAGAATACGCTGATTAATTATACAAGGTGACAAAATGGGCAGATCGTAATTTAATTGCTCATCTTGCAATATACTCATTATAATTTGCCTTAAAATTTATCAATATTAGTAAGCGACAGTTCCGATTCATCTTCAAATGTTTATGAGAGATATAAAATCAAATAATCATAACGATGACGCGAAAACAAGATTGTAAATTTTAATTGCCTTGATGAAGCATTTTGGCGATATACAAATTTAACACTAAAACACAGATGTATGTCTCTTGACTTTAATAAACTGAACTGAATGAAATCTTGGTCTAATTAAATTACCCTAAATTATTTGAATTCCATCATTTGTCACGTCTTGATAATTAATACTTTTCTTCTTCCTTTTTGTTTTTTTAAACAAACACACGTGTTCTTTATTTTAGCAGGTACTTTCCCTTTCGAACCAATAACAAGAAAAATACGGTTTCCTGTTTCAACCGAAAGACATGCAGGGATAAAACCAGTTCCAAGAAAAACAATTAATCAGTACATATGTATACTTTATTGTACAAAACAGCGCATCTTTCCGTTACTAATTTTAAAATGGTTTAATACATGAAATGCAAAAACCAGCGTGTGGGTTTTTATATATCCATTCCCTCCCACAAAATAACACGGACAAAAAGTCCAACACGACTTTATATTAAAAATGCATAGTTTACTTAATATTCTCACTTCTAAAGTAACCATAATTCATTTTGCAACGATAAAATAGCAATGTATACGTCAAGGTACGGATGTACAAATGATTAGTCAACAGCAGCGAGCCACTGCGCTCATTTAGAATGGAACTACATTTTTGATAAAGGGTTACCGTTCATACCAGGCCCTTAGAACGAAGGGGGGGGGGGGCAGGGGGGCCCGCCCCCACTTTTGTCTGAGCATAATTTTTGCTATTGTAAATTTTCCTTTAGATGTTGGTCCCCCCCCCCCCCCCCCACACACACACTTTTTGGAAGTTGTAAGGTCGAGCACTGGCAAATTCCAGGATTTGGTAAGTAAATTCCCCCTTTTTTTGCTTGTCAGATTTTTTTGAAAAGTTGCCCCCTCCCCCCAATTTTGAAACCGTTGCTACGGGCCTGCGAACTTAAAAAAAATATTCATTCAGAAAATCTTAATGGATTGGGTCACAGGTAACCCTCTGCAGTTTTTTTAACCAGCTTTACATCTGACCTATATTTCCATAGTAATCTAGGCCACGGGCACCTGAAGCGTGGATTCCCCCCACCCCCAACTAACTAATAAAATATAAGGAGTCTTTATTTTTTGGGAAATATGTGATTTCTCCGTCAATTCTATCTGTATGTCATTCTGCGCAATTGGTTTGTACTTTTTTAAGGTTCAAAAATTGGCCATATACGGGTATAATAAAAATACACAAGGTACATGTAAGAAACAAATTAAATTATAAACAAACGGGGGTTCCCCGCATCGAGGCTGATATTCCAAGGTACTAACAGTGTTACCTATCATAATTTTGCAACCACTCTATCAGGGAGATATTCTCCTACTCGTTTCTTTAACCTAAACCCCATCTTTAGTGTATGCTGTAATCAGACGATTTATTAGACGGACACATAAATTTTTCTCTATTGACAGCCTTGGAGGTTTGATATGTTACGCGCTTTATCTGATTGGTCGACAGAATACAGTTTAAATCATTTAACCAATCAGATAAAGCGTAACCAATTGCACAGAACACAGGAGTTCGCATACCTATCAATTTTACCGAAATTTTCAGTAAATATAAAAGATACGTAATACCTATAATACGTATCTTTTATATTTACTGAAAATTTCGGTAAAATTGATAGGTATGCGAACTCCTGTGCACAGAATGACATACAGATAGAATTGACGGAGAAATCACATATTTTCTAGAAAATAAAGACTCCTTATTACATTTCAACAGTGAAATACTGTGATTTATTTATTGAATAAAAGTGATATTCTCTCACAGTGTGAAAGGATACCAAAATGATATTCTCTCACAGTGTTAAAGGATATCAAAGTAACTAAATAATAATTTCTGGCCTGTCATAAGATAGAGATAGTAACAAAACATCTTGATAGAGCTAAAACTGCAAATTTCTTTCAAAATACGTTGTTAAAGCCCATGCTATGTAATGTTTTCAATCTCACAACTGCTATGCTATGACGTTTCAACCGCTCAACTATGACGTCAAGCCTATGACACTGTGTTAAGAAAAGACAGAGGGCAAAGGGAAAATCAAAGAAAATGTAATAAACAGAAAATTCAATGTTTTGTAGATGAATATGGAATTTTTTTCACTCGTGAGACAGGATTTTTTGATATTTTCACTCGTGCTTCGCACTCGTGAAAATATCAAAAAATCCGATCCTGTCCCACTCGTGAAATAAAATTCCATATTCATCTACAACTTGAATATCCTCTATTTATATTTTATTAGTTATTGGGGGGGGGGGATCATAGCAACCCTCATTATTTTTAGATCGATTGATGAGTCAAGTGTCAAAGAAGTGACTGATATATTATAGTCCAAAAATTTACGACTTTCCAGTCCTCCGATGTTTCATTTCATACAATTACATGTATCGGTTACCTATGTCTATGTGTTAAATATTATAAAATATAAACGAATAAATTTATAAATATAAAATTAATGTTACAGAGAATAAATTGAATAGTGCCACCCACTATGCTTGATTTTTCTTTTACTATAGGTAGTGATCACGTAAAACGAAGAATAGTATATTACCGGCCCCTACATTGCGTTACTTTCCTTGTAATTTGTTTTTATAAACTCACTCATATGTACATGTACATCCTTGTTTAATACAGCTTAAGCTTAATTGAACCGTAATAAGTTTTTTTACGGTAATTTATAGACCCGTAGGAACCGGAAAGGGGGGGGGGGCTAATAGTTTTGCCAATATGTACTATTCATTTTAGGACACCTGTTGTGCCCTCAAACTTAATTTGCTTCATACTTTTTACAAGAGATATACATTATTCCCAAAATGCCTGTTTCTTCAAAACATATAAAGCACTGTCCTCTCGGCGGTGTGATAGTTAATTAAGAACAGGCAATTTAACCCACCTTTCGAATGTCAACTGGATTTGTTTGATAAAGTAGTTCTACCTGTATTGTTATATAGTTGTGAAATTTGAGGTTTTAATTGATACCATTAAAAGAGTACAAGCGTATCTTTCAATCTAAAAAGCAGTACCCCAAGTTAAATGGTTTATGGTGAAACCGGGCGGTTTCCTTTATACATGAATATATACTCCTGAGTTAAAAAAATACTGGGCAAAACTACTGTATGGAAAAGAAAAAAGTATTGCAGTATTTGTATTTACGTAAACAATTTGATATAGGTGAATTGGCAAACCCTTGGATTTCATTTGTACAAAATATTTTAGACAATTGTAGTTTATCAAATGTATGGTATGAGAAAACTTTTCATAATGTGAAATGGGGACTGCAACAGTCAAACAAAGGTTAAGTAAAAGATCTACCGGTATATATTCTAACTGGAATAGTGAAGTTTTGGAATCTTCAAAAAAGTGTAAATTACAGAACCAATTTTAAACATGAAAAATATTTGTCTCTGTTATGTGAAGTTTAGGAAAACTTGTAAAATTTAGAACAAAAACTCACCATCTCTTAGTTGAAACCGGCAGATGGATTTTTGTACTCAAAGAATGAACGACTTCGTAATATTTATATGATTAGTAAACAGATAGGAGATGAATATCACTTTATTTTATAATGTTATGCTTTAAAATATTTATGAAAAGAATTCTTGAATCCAGAAAGTTTGTTTTAATCCAAACACTATGAAGTTTTTGTGAAATTATGTGCTCAAAAGATGTCGCAATTAAAAAAACAACAACAACAACAAAACAAAACAAAAAAAACCAAAAAAAAAAACCAAAAAAAAAAAAAAAAAAAAAAAAAAAAACCAAAAAAACCCCCAAACAAACATACAAAAAACCCCCACCAAAACCCCAAGTCCATTTATTACCAAAATTTAATTCTTCCGTCTGTTCTGCCTCTAGGTATAGACTTGAACGACCTCTTACTTGGCCCCTGTACCTCTCTTACCGTTTACATGGTTTTTGGGTGACTAGACGGAACTGAACTGAACTGTCCTTTCTATACTGTCTATAGATCGTCATATGGGAACTTCAATAATTACACACCTGATTATTCTATAGCTAGGTAACCCCCGACAGCTAATTATATCATCGTTTCTAGTCTGTAACTTATACTATACCTACATTGTTATTAAATCACGCTGTCGTGACCGCACCACAACCTTTGACTCAATACCGGCTCCAGCTGCTCTCATATAGCTCCACTCATTAAGAAGTCTAGTCATCATCATTAATCAGACATTATTTTAACTCGGCATAAAGTAACCCTGTACTGCTTGAATATTCTCAAGCTTGTGTCCCTGTGTTTTAAACCCCGACATTTCAGTTGAAAACATTTATATCTGATTCTGCAACTTTTTGTCCCCCCCGCTTTCACTGAAAGTGGGGGATATTAATTTGGGTCTGTCTGTCCGTCCGTCTAGCTGTATTTCTGTCTGTCTGTAACGCTTTCGTTTCCGCGCGATATCTCGAGAACCCTTTGAGCTTTCGCAATGAAATTTTGCATAGCAACTCCCTATG